TCCTGCTCCTGAATCTCAGTTAATCATATTAACTACATTTGTGCGCTGATGTGGTTCAGCTTCTGTCGGACTAAAGGACAGGACTCGGTGGAGTATGTGTGTTCTTTCTGTGACAGAGGGGTGTTCAGCTAATGGTGAGACTGTTCTGTGCTTCTGTCGCGTTGGAGATGGTTCATGTTAAACTTTTCAGAGATTATACGTCTGCAGGTCGTACACATAGACCGTATATATGAATGGACATATATTCTAGCCTCTGAATTACTTTGGGGCGTATAGACCTATGTCAGTGTATCAACGTTTTCAGGCGTCCACACAGTGCTGGCTCAGATCTGTACTCAGATTAATTCATGGGAGCTGGCGGCACCAGATCGTTCCGTCTCTGGAGCCGTTTTCTATCGGATTAGAGTGGACAAACACTGCATCCGCAACGAAAACGACTCGAATACGTACTAGTGTGAATGGGGCCTTTAAGCGCACAAATCATCTCACCAGTTTCAACTAAATCTAACTCTCGCTTCAGACAGAGCAGTGCTTCCACTTAGCTTTACACCCCCAAGAACTGTTGGTGACATCCACTGGAAAGTATCGAAACAAATCAAGTCTCAGCTGTTCACATTCACGTACTTGTTTATTCTATTTCAGGCCTTGAACTTGGACTTTCTGTCTTTGCAAGTCACCAAAATCAATTTCTATTTAAGTATCAATATCCAGCTACATGACTCTCCTATATGTTGCATTATAGAGGAGCTTAGACTAGTGCCCATAAACCCCTATAGTTTTAATGCTTATAATGCCCTTGCTGTATCAGTTGTTTGCATTATCAGTGAGACTTTGCTGAGAGGAGGCCAATGGAGCCTCTGAATGATACAGAGTCTACTGAGTGACCCTGGACCTACAGACAGACAGAAATCCATCTCTGACAAAGCTTTAATAATAGATAAGAACAGAGAGGCCAAGTAATGCACCTTGATATTTATGATGCTGCAAGTACTCCAGGTATTGTTTACTAAGTGAATGAACAAATTCCTTGGAAGATATGTTTAAAAATATGTTAATCGGTTAATAATTATAATTTTTCCTGCAGTTATGTTAAGAGTAGGGATGTAGCAATAACCAAAATATCGTGATATCGTATCGTCAAAAGTCTCACAATAATATCGTGGACTGTCACAATAAATCGGATTACAAGTTCCTTTGCTTAAATGCGTGGTTTTATAGTAGCGACAGCTTATAGACATGAAAAACTACATATCCCATGATTCCTTTCAGTGCAGACAACATGAAGATATATGTTTTTTACTTGAATTCTTGGGATTATGACAGATTAATTCACACTAAAATCTTGTCAAGGTATTTTAAAAGCAAAAAAAGTGTCCTACCCAAAATATCGCAATAAATATCGTACTGTGACATGCATATTGTGATAATATCGTACCGTGAGATTTGGATATCATTATATCCCTAGTAAAGAGCCTGTATTGTGCTGTTTTTGATCTCTTATAATGTTGTTTTTTCATCACAAACATGTCTTGAGTTGTGTTTTGCTTTGGTTCATTTTCACATGTTTACCACACAAACCCCGCATATTTAGGCTGAGTTCTTCTCTCAAACTGAAAACACTCTGTTCCACCTTGTGATGTCATGTACAGGAAGTGCTCGACAAGTGCTCAGAAGTGCTCGACTTTTTAAACCCCATACACCTTCACTACATTCATGTTTTGGATAATTTCAGACCTGGAATTGCCAATCTCTACAGACCTAAAGGTAAAAGGTAGTCATTAACTTGAAAATTACCACTACATGACATCACAAGATGGCTCGCAGCTAGCAGCCGAAACATGTCAACAAGGTAAACACACTTTACTGCATTGTCTTTAAAAAGAACCCAAGAAGTTAAAGTATATAAGAAGACAAAATGAACATCTTTGGCTTAATGACATCACAAGGTGGAGCAGAGCATTTTGAGCTGTGGAGATGTAAACAGACTAATAGTAAAACGTTATTCAAATGTGTGGATGAAACAAAACACAACTCCGGGTATTTTTTGATGCGGTAACGGTATTATAACATCATTTAAAGCTCACAAAAGTCAATTTTTGCATAATATAGGACCTTTAACGCCTTTAAATAGGACTGTTGCCATAGTAATTAACAATAACTAACAAAATATTCTATCTTTTGAATTGTGAAAAGTTCTCAAAATGTTGCCGTCTGTAACAGGAAGTTGAACCCTGTCAGTTTTACTTGTTCATGTGATATTATTTTCTCTATAAACATTTCACCTCCTTACACCACATAGCTCTTTCTCAGGTGGTTAAGATCACATTTTAAAACTTCACTTAAAACTTGCACAAATGTTGTTTTTCTTAAAAGGCCCCGCTTAATATAGAGTGACTTCTTCTTATTTATACAGTAATGAAATCCCTACTAACAATGTTTATTTTTCATTTTGTTAGTAAGAGATTGAATGTATCCATGAAGTATGAAAGAGCATCTTTTTATTTGACGATGACGATGAATACTTGTGGTCAGTTTTTAGTTTCTTAGTTTCATTTTTTTATACCTATATATTTAGGTTGATTTGTGATGACTGGAAAACTTATGTAGATATATTGAAATACTTGATTTCCACATGTTACAAACCTTCAGTAAGTCAACCCTTCCTTGTTTTTTTACTTTTTACCAATTCTTTACTGCTTTGTGCATGTGTAGTTCTAAAACATTACAGATTTGTTATCAGAAATGTGCTGGGGTCATTTTACTTTGACAGATGAAGATGTATTTTCATGTAAATAAACAAAAGTGCAACCTCATTTTTTTTCTCTCTGTGGTTTTTACTTAGCGATGTTTTAATAATACGGTTTTAAAGTTAAGTTAAGATGATGTTATTAATATAATAATATCATCATGCAAACATCTCTACTGTCTACATCAGGGGTCTCCAACCTTTTTTCTCAGGTGTGCTACTTTTACAAAACAAAAATGCCAAAGAGCTACTAGTTTTACCGATCACAAGAAATTTAGTATATAACAGAGCCACAGCAAGTCTTAGATTAGGGTGGCCAGATGTCCTTGTTTACCCGAGACAGTGCCAGTTTTGAGCCCTGTGCCCCATGTCCCAGCAGATTTATACAAAACCAGTGATTTGTCCCAGTTTTATATATAAATGTTATATATTTAACTGTCCCAGGTGTCTCTATTTTTGACCAATCTGATCCTTGCCAACAGTAAAGAGAGGCATAAATTGTCATGTGTTTAGGTAAAATACAGAAAAGCTGCTTGAAAATGACCAAAACACACAAAAAATGTGATTAGTCATGAATGGGCCAAGTGCAGAAAAATTTGCCTTAATTATGCACTTATTTCACCATTTTATTATTACCAACGAACCCAAACCAGGGGTGTCCCAGTTTGGAAAATCTGACCATCCTATGTTAGATGCCAATAAAACATAAACCTTTTATTCATTTATTAGTGTACAAATTTAGACATAAAATAATACATGTATAATGGAAATAGGCATTTAATCAACAAAATTTTACTTATTTAGCATAATACGTATAATTCAGAAATCCCTTGGCTCGCTACTTGGAAGGGGGTGGCGAGATAGCTCCCGAGCTACAGGTTGGAGACTCCTGGTCTACATCTCCAAAGCTCAAAATGCTCCATTCCACCTTGTGATGTCATGTAGTGGAAGTGTTGTTTTCTACAAAAGTCCTGTGCTCAGGTCTCTGCACTGGCTCCTGTGGCTCAGAGAATAGACTTTAAAGCAGCTCTGCTTGTGTACAAGTCTCTCCTTCCCGAGCACCAAAGTCCATCTGTGACATGTTAGTGTCATATGAACCATCTCGCACTCTGAGGACCTCAGGGACCGGCCTCCTGCTGGTGCCCAGAGTCAGAACTAAACAAGGGGAGTCAGCGTTTCAGGTTCATGCAGCTAAAACCTGGAACAGTCTTCCTGAACATGTGAGACAGACTCTTCTGTGACGCTGTTTAAATCCAGGCTCAAAACATTTCTGTTTGACTGTGCAAATAACTGAAAGGTTTTCATTCCGCACTCTTCTCTCTAATGTATGTCTCTCTTTTTAAATTTTAATCTTTATGATTATTTATGTTTTGATTTGTTTTTATTATGATTTTAATGTATTTCTTATTTTGTAAAGCACTTTGAATTACTTTGTGTACAAATTGTGCTATACAAATAAACTTGCCTTGCCTTTTCAAATTAACAGCGACCGTTGATTCAATATTGAGCTTTATTGAACGATATTTGTTCTGCTGTGTGTAAAAGAGGCACCAGCACCTTCATTTAATATTTAGTTTGGCCCGTGACTTCGTTCCAGTTTTTAAGTTTGACCCTCTGTGAATTTGAGTTTGACATCCCTGATCTAAACTATTTGTTCTGTAACAGCGTCTTGTCACCACGAGATGGCAGCATGCCCCAATCTCCTTCAAAGGCGAGTTTCATTTATATTTATATACAGAAAATAAACGCAACATGACAGTGCATTACCGAAAGTAGGACACGCGCTCTGCATTAGGATATGTGTTGGTACGGTCTTCCAAACAAGGAGCAGAATCTATATTTAGCACACATGAAAATATTACTTTATGAAATCATTTAAATTTTTGTAGAATTACATATCGATAATAGTAACTGAACAAAAATATATGCAAGAGGTATGACTATAAATAAGCTATAACTGGGTGAAGCTTTGAATATAGTTGTTTCCTCTGGCCCCATTTAAGTTAAGCAGATTAGTTCATGCATTTATTCACATAGTTTTCAAATAACGCTGCAAATCTATTATTTATCCCACAGATTTTGAACTTGTATTATTTTCATGCACCTATTTAACCTATATTTCTGCAGCTCTCTATTGGCTGCGGTCACGTGCTCGCTAGTGTGCGTTGGTTGGTACCTCTTTGGGGGAGGAGTCGGGTTACGTCGTGCGTCCTGGGAACCGAATGGATAGTGGCTCATTGCGCTCCGCCGTGCCCCGTGTCAGTGCCTGTGCAGCGGGGATGATAGCTAGAATGCCCGCGGAGACCCGAGCACCTCCAGGCTCATGGACAAATAATAAATCCAACCATTAAATCCGCTGGAATGACTGCGAGTGGGCTTTCCGTGCGTGCGAGGAGGGCGTGAGCGCGCTTGGCTGTAGTGGCCGAATATAGACGCGCTTTGCCGGTGTAGCTGCAGCGGCCGGGAGGACGGGAAGGAGGGGCCCGCTGTTCGGTGCTCCGTTGTCTCGTAATAGGATAAAGAAAAGGGAAAGCGAGCTATTTTTACGCACGCACTGGAAGAAGGACCGTGTCTGGAGGAGCCGCCATGGGGACTTCGCCAGATGAGAGCTCGGTGCGCGTGGCCCTGAGGTAAGAGTCCGCTACTGGGATGCTCCGGGTACACCTGCTCCTCCATAACACATGCTTTATTAGCCCGTGTAGCTGTACCACGCGTAAAGGTCCTATATTACCCAAAATGTACTCTTGTGAGCTTTAAGCCATGTTATAATGTTATAACCACCTCAGCAACAAACCTGGAGTTGTGTTTTGTTTCATTACCACATGTCTGAGTAATCCTTTATTATTACTCTGTCTACTAGGGCTGGGTATCATTAAGAAGTTGCCGATACGATGCATACCTCGATAAATATGCTACGATACGTATCTCGATACAGTGCACTTTCAATTCAATACAAAATATTTCAAATTGATTCGATACAGTTTAATAAAAATTATGTCTAAATCATGACTGTGATACTAAAAGTCTTTGTTAAACCACTTCTTGTGCAAAGTTCATATGAAACACAAACATTTTAATCATCAAAACAGTGAAAATGTCAAATGTGCGGCATAAACAAGTTTCCTTCCTCTGAACGAGCAACAAAACTGTAGCACTGTAACAAAATAATTTAGTAAAATATGCCAAAAAATACTCTTGGCAATATTATCGATTTTTGCACATCCCTACTGTCTACATCTCAAAAGGTCAAAACTGCTCTATTCCACCTTGTGATGTCACCTAGTTTTAGTTTATTACTTTTGGTTTAGTAGAGATAGGAAATTCAAGGTCTAAAATTCTCCAAGTGATTCCAGTGAAGCTGTATGGTGTTTAAAAACACAATGGAGCACTTCCTGTTTTGTGACTTGACATCACAGTGAGATTTCTGTTCGAGCCTAAATGTCTCAGATGGATGAGATTAATGCCATACTGTGTGACATTCTAGGCAAAACAATAAAATTTCAGTGGGGACAAGCAAGTAGCGGACCCCTCCACCAGAAAAGTTACACGATACACCTTTGAACCATCTCTATTATCTATTTTAAACCAATATTCCCACGTGTCTTGTCTATTATTGCTCAAACCTTTATTTGACCAACACCATTTTTTTTGTAAACCATTTCCAACCACAAAAACGTTGCCAGACCTGTCCTACTTTCAGTTTTGAATCAGCTAATTAATGTGCTGAAGAGAATTAGATTTCCTTTATGTGTAACTGCTGAGTGACATATTAGTGATCTCTTTTCCTAGGCTACTTAAAGGTGCATTGTGTAACTTTTCTGGTGGATTTTCCCCATTAGGACATTTGCTCAATTACAGGTGATTTATAGCTACAAAATCTGCTGTAAAAACATGTATTCTGACCACGTGCGTGTTTGCATCGCCATAGATCTGACCTGTCTCCTCTGTTATTACCAAATTAGTCAAAGAAAAATACTAATATCACCATGGAGACAAGCAGATATCAGGCTCACAATAATATCATGGACTGTCAAAATATATGGAATTACATGGTTTTATAGTAGCTACAGCTTATGAACATTGGGAACTACATATCCCATGATTCATTTCAGTGCAGACAACATGAAGAAATATGTTTTTACTTGAATTTTTGAAATTATGATGGAAATAATTCACATCAAAATCGTTTCAAGGTATTTTAAAAGCAAAAGAATGTCCTTTCTACAATTATATTAGGCTCTCCAAAAGTCTCGGTCTGGTCCCAGTCTCAGTCCTGTTCTCAGTGCCGGTGTCAGTCCCGATGTCAAGTCCCAGTCTGGTCCTGGTCTCAGTCGTGATCACCCGACAGTGTATGCAGGTGCACCTCCGGGCCCATTCCGACAGTCCTGGTTCAGTCCTGGTTCAGTCCTGGTTCAGTCCTGGTTCAGTCCTGGTTCAGTCCTGGTTCAGTCCTGGTTTAGTCCTGGTTTAGTCCTGGTTTAGTCCTGGTTTAGACCTGGTTTGGACCTTGTTTAGTCCTGTTTTAGTCCTGCTTCAGTCTGTATGTGACTCAAAAGTCTGGCGTCACAGTTTAAGTCACAGAAACTGAAAAAATGAATCGTTATCCGTTTTTTCATTTTGGTTTTGGAGACAAATAATAAAAATTTTCTTATTTCTGATTTTATATTGAAAAACAAATGAACGAATGATACACAGATTTTTATGCAGACCATTTGACTTTTTCACTGTTTTGATGATTAAAATGTTTGTGTTTCATATTAACTTTGCACAGGAAGTGGTTTAACAGACGTTTAGTATCACAGACATGATTTATTTTTTATTTTTTTATTGAACCATATTGAATCAATTTGAAATATATCGCATCGAATCGAAAGTGCACTGTATCGAGGTATGTATCGTATCGGCAACATCTTAATGATAGCCAGCACTAATCCCTGTGTTAAGGTTTAGGAGAGCACAGCTGACAGTGCTCGTCTCAGCCTCTTTTGTTAATACCTGCAGTGGCAGAACATGTGTGGGATTTGTGAATGGACTCCTCCCTTTACTACAGGTTCACAGGATTAGGTCCACGAAAGGTTTGTGTGACGCCTTTTCCTGCTTGGGCTGGGCTAACACTTGTACACAACACATCAATATAGGGACGAAACCAGGACTGAACCAGGACTAAACCAGGACTGTACCAGGACTAAACCAGGACTAAACCAGGACTGTACCAGGACTGTACCAGGACTGAACCAGAAATAGACCAGGACTGAACCAGGACTAAACGAAGAATAAAACAGGTCTAAACCAGAACTGAACCATGGCTAAACCTGGACTAGACCAGGACTAGACCAGGACTAGACCAGGACTAGACCAGGACTAGACCAGGACTGAACCAGGACTGAACCAGGACTGAACCAGGACTGAACCAGGACTGAACCAGGACTAAACGAAGACTAAAACAGGTCTAAACCATGGCTAAGCCACGACTAGATGAGGACTGAACCAGGACCGACCCCGGACTATGCCAGGACTAAGACAGGACTGAACCCGGACTGATCCCAGACTGAACCAGGACTAAACCAAGCCTTAAACTGGACTGAACCAGGACTGAACCAGGACTGAACCAGGACTGAACCAGGACTGAACCAGGACTGGACCAGGACTGGACCAGGACTAGACCAGGACTAGACCAGGACTGAACCTGTGCTTTTAAACATACATCTTTACTAGAGTCATATGGCTAATTTCAGGCCCAGAATTACTCATCTCTGTTGAACAAAAGGTAAAACTGTAAAAGGAGCTATTAACTTGAAAACTACTGCTTCATGACATCACAGGGTGGAACAGAGGATATTGAGCTTAGGAGATGTAGATCGAGTCATAATAAACGGTTTCTCAAACATGTGTGAATGAAACAAAACACAACTCCAGGTCTGATTTTGAAGAGGAAACAACTTTATAAACTGGCTTAAAGCTCACAAAAGTCACTTTTGTGTAATTTAAGCCCTTTAATGCAAAGAAGGATTTTCATTTTTGTCAAGAGCCCACACCTACATCGAAGGAACTGTGTCCAATGTTTTGTAAATAAGGCTGCGTTTACACTTGTCCTGGTTTTGTCCTGATTTAATCCTCCTTTAGTCTTGGTGTAGACTTGGTGTGGTCCAATTCTAGTCCTGGTTTAGTCTTGGTTCTGTCCTGGTTTAGTCCTGTTTCAGTCCTGGTTCAGTCCGGGATCAGTCCTGGCATAGTCCAGGTTCGGTCCTGGTTCAGTCCAAGTTCAGTCTTGGTTTAGCCATGGTTTAGTCCTGGTTCAACTTCTTGTATTACCACGACATCACAAGGTGGAACAGAGCGTTTTCTGTTTGGGAGAAAAACTAAAAACTAAATATGCAGGGTGTGTGTGTTAAACATGTGTGAATAAAAAAAAAACCACACAACTCCAGGTCTGTTTAGGTCAGAAGATAGAGTAATATGAGACCTTTAATAGTTTTAATTATAGACTACCTTCTAATTTTCAAATCTCCAGAACAAGACTATGGGATTTTCAAGATATCTCTCTCCTCTAGTTAGACCAATCCCTACCCAAAATATTCTAGTGGTGCCTATTGAACCATTTTTTATGCTAAAGTAAAGTACTGAGTTGGATTGAAAACCCTGGACATAGCAGATCAATTGTTATCTGTGGGAGTGTGAGAGACAGAGAGCTTTTGTAGCAGCAACTCCAATGACTTCTTGTTGAAAATCTTAACTCCTCCATTTCACCAAGAGCCTGAGTTGTTGACATAAAAATATATCTGTGTTGATAGACAAACATTTGCTCATAATTTAGTGTTTTCTGAGAAATAAAAGTTGAACTATGCTACTTTGTTCCCAAACTTTTACATGCAAGAATAGTTTTGGACTTGGAGTTGTGTTTTCTACTAATCTGGCCCTGATTTTTAATTTTTTTGGTTTGGTCTAGTTCTAGTCCTGACTTAGTCCTGGTGCAGTTCAGGTTTAGTTCTGGGTTTCATCACATTCCTGATTTGGAGTGAATGCCCTTGAGAAATATCCATAACTTCTTTCTTTTCCACCATTCCCAAGTAGACCGTTAGCCCTGTGGGAGTCTTTACATAATTAAATCTACAGTTCTATAAGTAAAACTGGTTAGGATGGTCCATGCTCCATATTTCACTTTGAAGCAGCTTTTCCCATGTCTTTTAATCATTTGATTAAAATGATTGAATTAACATTGACTTGAAATAACAAACTTAACATTTTAAAGGTTAATATTATGTAATACAGAGGGCGGCGTCCAAAATTAATATCGTTAAAATGTTGATTTTTGTTAAAATATAGTTAGAGTTTTGGCAAAAATAATCAGAAATAGTACATTTTCCTCTTGGATATGTCCTATGTAAATACAATATAATCAGCAGGATAACCCACTGGTCCCCAACCCCCGGGTCAGGGACTGGTACTGGGCTGTGGGTCGTTTGGTACCGGGCCTTGAAAGCGCGAACACCCCCATACCCTGAGTGGACTTTCCCCCCTCCCATACGTCGCGCGGGCAACACCTCTAAATCCAGAACTAAATCCAGAACTAAAACCAGAACTAAAACCAGATGTAAACCAGAACTAAAACCAGAACTAAACCAGGAGTAAA